CATTGTTATTAACTTCTAATTTAAGATTGTTTATTTTTAACTTCTGAGAGAATAATTTGTGAGTTTTTTTTGAAGTATTTTAAAATTTACAGAGAATGTTTTATGTGCCAGGAGTTGATCCTTCTTGGTGACTGGTGTGTGGGAGAAGGAGAGTATATGTACTCTGTATCTGTTTCACGAATGAGTTGGTAGATGGAATTAGACCTCACTGGTTGATAGTGATGTAACAGTCTCTATGTCCTTACTTGTTTTCATTTTCTCACCTAGTTAGTTGTCTTGCGTGTTAATGTTTCCAATGGTCGTTCACATTTTGCCTATCTTGTTCCTTTCGGTGTTATCAATGGGTGTTATCAATGCTTCATTCAGGATGTGCGCTGACTTAAGCAGCATTCTGACTTTCTGTGGCATGTCTTCCCTCTGGGAACATTCAGTTTAGATTTCTGTGTCCTTTCCGCTACCACCCTGGATCTATCCCTTATGCTCTTTAATTTTTTTTTTTTTTTTTTTTTTTGGTTTGTGGTTTTTCTTTCATAGTGGAAGCTTCCCCCAAGTGTGTGACCATTCGCATTTGAAGAAAAGGCTCAGGGAAGTAGACCGAAGGACGTCTGCTTGGGTGGGGTTTCCTGTCGCCCAGCAGGAGGCCCCTGTGGCCAGCTGAGCCTGCTGTTTACTCGGGCTTGGGGCCCCTGGGCCCCCCATTGTCCAGCATAGCTCTCACCCCACAGTGGCCCTAAACCTTACAGGCCTAATTTGGGTTGTTCCCCAGATGTGTTTTCTCTCAGTGGCCACCACAGCTAGGCTGGCTGAGTAAAACACTGATTCAGATCAAGGAAGTGTTGGTTCTAATGGGTTCTCAGGATCGTGGATAAAATCTCTTTACCCTCACCCTTTACCTACACTTCATGGCAAGTCATTATGTCAAACTTCCCAGTCTGTCCAGATTTTTGTTTTGGAAATTAGCTTGTATTTTTCTCGCATTTACTCCTTTTAGGCAAGTATTTCTCAATCTGTGGGTCATGACCCCTTTGGGATCATGACTCTTGCACATGGGTCACCTAAGACCATCGAAAAGCATTGATATTTACATTCTGATTCATAACAGTAGCAGAATTACAGTTATGAAATAGCAAGGAAAATAATTTAAATGATCGGTGTGTGTGTGGGGGGGCTTCCCAACGTGAGGAACTGTATTAAAGTCACAGCGTTAGGAAGGTTGAGAACCACTGTTCTAGGCTAACACTGATAACTCCATCTGCCCAGTTCAGAGAACCCCACGCTCAGCAAGGCAACTGTCTTAACTTTCAGGCCTGGAGTGTTTTCCGACTTGTTTATGCTCTTTGCATGCGCGTGCCATGGTGTTTAATTGCCTCTTGGCTTTGCCTGACTTGTGCAAACATTTGCAATTTTGATGCAATGAATCTATCAATCTTTCCCTTTATGATTTATGTTTTCATCTTGCTTAAGAGCACCTTCTGTATCCCAAAGTCATAAAAGTTATTAGACGAGAATGCGGGACTCAATTCTGATTTTGCTTGCAGCTATTTGATTTATATAGAACATATTTTGTTATGACTTGAAGAAGAGAAATAATTACAGGATTTTTTCTTTTCCTAGCCAGAGAGCCAGTTTCCCTAGAAATACTTAATGAATCACCTGTCCTTTCCCTGAGGACGTTACTTCTATTGTCTTCATTCAACCCTCCAACATGTGGTCACTGCTTGACTCCCCGAAGTCTAGAATTGCGCTGTGGGGACACAAGGTCTCCATGTGGACTAAGGACATTCCAAATACTGTCTCCTGGGGTTACCCTTAAAGTCCCTGACCATCTCCGCAAAGTCTTCCCTGTCCATACTGCCCCATGACTCTGCTTTCCCGACCACGTGTGCAGCAACAGACAAGGAAGGAACTTACAAATCTATTATTTTGTCTTGCATGCATTTGTGAACTCGTATACTTCATCTTAACAGATAGCAATGGAGAAGTTAACTGATGTGGGGAGGGGAACAAACCAACATTGGTACATTTAATGTGTACATCTGGATACACTTGAAGATATGCACGCATTTCTGAAACCATGACAACAGTGAAGGTAATAAACATATCAGTGCCTCCCCAACTTGCCCACCCCCTTCTTCTGTGGTAAAAATATTTAGTATGAGACCCATTCTTAATCCAAATTTTTGGTGTGCAATTCATTACTGTTGACCAGAGGCATGGTGTTATAAAGCACATCTCTATAGTTATTTGACAAGTACAACCGAAGCTTTACACACTTTAATGTGTACATCGCCTGGCCATTACATCCCACGTTTCCACTAATGGCCACATTTCTTTATGATGGCTGTAGAGTACTTTCTTGTGAAGGTTTTAGGACATGTGTTTTCTTTATCCCGTGATGAATGTTTAGGCTGACCTTATTCTTTTTTAATCTTGGCTGTTGTAAACAATTCTACATACAACAGACAGAAATGTAGACAGCTCTTCAAGTGTGCCCCTCAGTATTTGCTGATCGGCGCATGAGAGTTGACCTGCTGACTCTAATGATATTTCTTCTTCTTCTTCTTCTTCTTCTTCTTCTTCTTCTTCTTCTTCTT